GGGCCGCAGGTGCCGGGAGCGCCACGGTCGCCGAGGATGGCTTTTCTGTTTCTTTCTTTCTTTTTTTTCTTTTTTTCCCTTTTCTTTCTGCTCTTTGTTGCGGCCCAGCGCGTTCTCTTCCGCGTCACATCCAAAGCCCGTCACTGGCATTTCAGGAGGAGCCGCTTTTCATCGTGCGGGGTAACGTTGGCAGAGGTGACTTTTCCGCTTTGCAGTTTCTGTTTTGTATTTATGCGGGATAATGACAACAAAAAAAAAAGCGCCAGCAAAAGGCCCCAGCGAGGATCGAACTCGCGACCCCTGGTTTACAAGACCAGTGCTCTAACCACTGAGCTATGGAGCCCACTCGTTACCTGGGAGACTGTAATTCAAGGACATTGGAAGCAGCCTTGCTTTAGCTGGCAGGCTTTTGAGACTGACTGACCCCATGCATCCCACCCATGTCGATAATGATGGCTTTGAAGACTGTGAAAGGCCAGAGGAAAAATGCCTACCCCACGATAGGCCGAGAAAAACAGCCCCCGAATCTCAGCGTCTTAAGGTTAGGATCACAGAACACTGACTCATACCGGCGGTAAGTGATGCGAAACGATAGAGGCTGGAAGGGAAGATGCAAAAGTTAAATGGCCCAGTTACCTCTAGGTCATATAGTACAGCTCTGGTTTCTGGGACAACTTGTATCCATACTTAAAGGGGAGTTATGGGGCCTGTCTTTGGTTCTCATGAATAAGTTATTGGTTATGGGTGAGTTCGTTGATTCAACACACTCCTATTCTTGAAAAAAAAAATGCCTGGGATCACGCAAGGATGCCTCATTCCCTTTTGCTTAATGAACTGTTTACCAAAGGAATGAAGTCGTGGCCACGGCTTGATCCATCCCTGCATGAAGGAGAGAACGAAGAAGAGCATGTGTTCCCAGTGGCCCACAAGCCTCTCTGCTGTACCTCCTTCAAGCCTTTGCTCCTCACATTCTCTTTCTCAAGGAGACCTTTCTGCACCCACTATTCCAAGCTGCACCAGCCTCCTTGTCCTCTTCCCCACAAGTTGATGGGCTTCCTGTGTTTATTATTCTCTTTCTGTCTCTTCCTATTGGAATGTCGGCTCTTTTCGAGGTCAGGGGTGTTCGTTTTATTCCCTGCCGTGTTTTCAGCACTTGGAATAGTGCGTAGCACAGAGTAGGTGCTCAATAAATGCTGAAGGATTGACATCGATGATGTCATCCCACTGGTTTATAAACCCAAGCCCGAATTCACATGTGGACGTGGCAGCAATTAGTGGCTTCAGGAAACAGAGAGCTTATGTGTGTGTGTGTGTGTGTGTTCAGGGACAGGTGAATGGGAATGAGCCAGATGTGTGTCATCCCTGCCGTGGGGCGCCCTTCAGCGTTAGGAGGGACAACATGGGCTTGGTGTCCAGTGCTGCGATTTCAATCGTCTCGAATTCGCTGAGGTTTGTTTTGTGACCTAAGATGTGGTCTGTCCTGGAGAACGTTGGAAACAACTGTTGGCTTTTCGGTTTGGGGATTCAATTTCGATGAAGTTGATCTTATCTAATGTGGAGACGTGGTGTTCCAGGCTGGGAGCAGGCATCATGAGGGTAGACAGCTCAGCGAGTGATGATGAGGAGGAGGATGCTAACCGACTGCAATAACACTGTCATTGCCTGTGGGTCCCTGGGAAGAATCACTGAAACCGTTTGTGTAAATACTTCCCGCAGAGCCTGGTGTCTGGGGAGTCCTTGGTGTAAGTTATTTTTATTCCTAGTTGTGCCTAAAAGTATTGTGTGCAGCCCTCCTAGTGCAGGAGGGTGGCTCACAGAGATGGGGGTGAAGGAGGCAGAGGGAGAGGTGAAGAACGGGGCCTTCAGGTGCCCCTGATTTCTGTAGCCAGAGCCCCTCCAGACACCGGCTGAGTGAGATGTTAGCAGCACAGCTTTGGGAGCACTGAGTCATATTCAGAAAGGAGAGCTCCTCTCGCCTCCCGCAAGACCGTGGGTTAGAATGAACCTGATTGAAGCCAGACAGAGGCGGGAAGAGGGTAGTCTTTTCGGGGGACGCAGCTGTCTTCCGTCACGTGCTTCCCGTGACAGTGGGGCGGGGTTTCCATGCCCGGTGGGTAGAAGGAGATGCTGGCCATGGCTAGTTCAGGGACAGAAGGACAGTCGAGACACTGAGGGAGTCCCAAGAATTGCTCAAGACTTTGGGGACAATCTTATGAGCCAGAGAAACTAGCCAACCCCCAGCAGAGCTCCTAGTGGGCCACGTAAGGGCAAAAAGACCTCCAGTCTAAAGGGGTGGGGTGGGGCCTTAAGGTAGAAACACAGAGCTGGAGGGTCTTACAGTTCATCTGGTTGCATGGGTCTCAATTCTGGCTGCATGTGAGTTACCGGGGGACTTTTTAAAAAAGGTCATTGCCCAGGCTCCAGAAAGTCTGGTTTAATTGGCGTGGGGTGAGGACTAGGCATTCCTTTATAAATGCTCTTCAAGGTATTCTGTTGAGAACCAGGTCTTATCAGTCCATTTCATCTTGTAGAGCAAGCACGTCAAACTCAAAGGCTGACACGGGCCAAGTAAACAAGGTTTGAGTGTCTGTGGGCCGCAAAAATACAACAGCTTCAGTTTTCATAGAAACGTAGGTTTATTTCGATAGAGACACGCTGAATGCAAAGGGCTGAAATAAACGAGTCATCGTTCACATAAAATAATAGAGCATTTTAATAAAAATTAATATTTTTTCTTGAATATTAACTTACCAGACACTGAATATCTGCACAAAATAATAAGTGTAATGCAAATAAACCTACTTTTCTTGTTCTCCGAGAGCGAAATCTTTCCCGCTGCGCACACCAAACAAGTCAGTCCAAGACTAATGACGTGGCTGAGGGCTGCTAGAATATTCGCTGCTGGTATTAGCGGAGAGAAATGGTGCGCCTGTGTGTAAGGCACGTAAGGGAAATGAATGCAACACAATTATAGTCATCAGTCATTAGCGAACTTTGTAGTTCGTTATTAATAATGATGTATAACAGGATATTGTAAAGGTTAAGTTATGAAATTTTTATTGAAACGTTTCTTACATACCGTTATATTGGCTGGGTTGCAAAAACATTTGTTGTGGGCCGAGTTTGACATGCTTGTTGTAGATGAAAAAACAGACTTTGAGAGCTTAAATAATGGACCCAAAGTAAAGGCCACGCAGGCGATGTTTGGCCAGAGGGTCTGAACTCACACTCGGGGCTCTCTCCCTCCCCCTGCAACCAAACGTCCTCAGCCTTGACACTCTGGGTTGACTTTAGAGGATAGCGACCGTGCTTGCGTGTTTAAACCTGCATCTGGATATAGTATTTGAACAGCGCTAGCATGCTCTAGAGCAGTGGTCGCCAATCGGTGGTCCGTAAGGTCCGAAAGGTTGGCGACCGCTGCTCTAGAGGGGCTGTCGAGAACTGCGACTGTCCCGGAGACACTGGTGACCGGTGGCCCCAGGCTCTGGAAGTGGTGACAAGCTCAGGTGGTGGAGTCACGAAAGCCTGGGGACCTTGGACATCTTACCTGACATCGTTGAGCTTCCGTGTCTTCATCTCTGAGATAAATATTTCCTTAGGGAGTCCACGCAGACTGGTTCCTTGGTCGTGAAGATGAACTAAGAGAATGACATTAAGCTCTTAGCGCACAACGTGTGCCTTTTTATTTTTATTTTATTTTGTGCCTTTTTATTTATTTATTTATTTAAACTTAAAAAACCTGCACACCCCCTACTGGGGATGTGCCTGCAACCAAGGTACATGCCCTTGACCGGAACCGAACCTGGGACCCTTCAGTTCCCAGGCCGACGCTCTATCTAGTGAGCCAAACTGGCTAGGGC